CGCCACACCAGCAAACCCAATAACAATATACAAATGAAAGCTTGTTAGAAACAAGTGAAGAATATTGTAGCGGGTTGGGGATATTGCACATCTTTTTTGTTCTTCATACATCTGGTTAAAAAATATATATATTTACACAAGTTAAAGAGACCTGGAGTTTTACAAAATTCCTACATTTGTTTTTTAGGCTCTTCATACAGGTGAAAGCAAAAAATAAAAAGGAACACTGATTTCTTAGAAATGTCAGAGCTTTGTTTCTCTAAAAACAAACCTGTTTTCATTTTCACAAAAGGGGGCAAGCAGGAGGTAATATGTAAAGTCCGAAGCAGGATTCTTGTTCCCTGAAGCAGGGTAGAGAAAGATTAGTACCATTCCACAGTGCAGTAGACAAGAGTTCACAAATGATGTTCTGGACCTCTTCATTTAGATCTAGAACTGTCTTTATATTTCCCCTTAAACAAAAATAATTGGCTCCTGCATAGAGTGGTCCAATTCCCACCAGAAACGGGAAGCAGAGCAATTCTGAATGTGGACTTTGTATGGAGGCACAAAGGATATCTTTTTTTAAAAACCCAGTAAAAATGACACTTTAGGTGCTTTATCAGTGTGGCAATGAAGTGAGGCCAAGCACCCAAGGGCCATCTTTGGCTTTCAAGAAGTCAGTTTCCAACTATCTAAGCTTTTCTGTCTTTCTTGTCAAAGTTTCATACCTATTTCAGGAACAAGTACATAAATAAAGAAAAATTCAGAAATGTATTTTCTTCCCAATGCCATCTTCCAAAAAGCCAATAAATGCTTCCTCCTCTTTACCAATATATTCATATGGAAAGCATATCTGGTCAGCTGTTCAATATGTTTTACATTGTCTTGACAGAAATTTTAGTCTGCATTGGAGGAACAGAGATATCTTTCTGTAATTTTGTCTATTGAAACTAGAAGTAATTCGCATCTCACATGGAACATGTCTGGGCATTGGTAATAAAGTTTAGACATCAAGGAGACGTCTCACCAAAGGTCACACTCCTGATATCTTTAACCCAAATTCTGTATTTATCTTGCTTCATACAGTGCATTCAGTTCAGTATGTGGAAAGAAAACAAACATACATTTTGCTGTTTGATTACCAGTTTTGCTTAAAATATTGATTTACATAAACAATTAGTTGGCATCCATTCTCTGCAGAACTGGATACTTTTGGAATTTGGTTAGAGGATTTTGTAACTACTAATTCATATATGTATGTTTGTTTTTCATTAGAGACAATATAATGCTCTCCAGTTAAAGTAAATGAATTTTACCCCAGTCCTCTGGAGTACATACACCATAACAGAAGCCAAGGAATCTCAAGTACCTAGAGAGAAGTGCTATTTGTCTGATCCCACAAGGGATAAATCCTATCTATATAACTCGGGAGTTACTATACATGCCCTATTTAGGTCTAGATTCACATGGGAAAAGAAACATGCACACAACTGAGTTTAGGGATTGCTCTCATTTCTATTATTATTATATAGGCCTATCTGAACTTTCCCTTTTTTTCACAGATCTACTTCCATTGTGACACTGAATACCTGGGTGATAAACATCTGGGCTTTGTTCAGATGCATAGTTACATGAACAGACTATACTGTTCTGTCAGAATTACTTTTTTTAGGGAGAAAGTTATCAGCAGAGGAATCTAAAATTCTTAGACAATTATTTGAGTAGCTCAATTATTTCCCCAAGGACAAATGTTTGGACAACTTGTTCTAAAAGAGGTGCGAATGTGTGTGTGGTATATGTATGTATATATAACACCCACACATCTCCTTACTCATAAAATGGGCAACAAATGCAGGAAGAGTGGGTTGTTGAGAATATTGGAAATCAGCTCAGAGGTTTTACTGTGGGTAATAAATATGCCTTTGATGTGCAATGTTTTGCTTTTACAGAACTTTGTCAGAAGGTTTCCCAGGATGTTTTAACAATAATTATGAAAAAAAAATCCCTAAAGCTTTGTTGTCTCTGATATTTTGGAGCACAACCCAAACACTATGAGTAACACCTGAATTCAATTCAATTATAATCTTACCAAACTGTGTTAAATTAAAAAAAAAAGTCTTCATGGTTTGTGGTGTAGGAATCTCACCTTTTAGAGCAAGATAATATTAAGCATTTGAATTACAAGTGTAAACGCTGGTTCTTGTGACTTTTTCCACTCAAAGGAGAGCTCCCATAATTCCCTCTAAGATTTCATTCACACAAAATTCTAATGAGCATTGAAATCATGGAGATTATTATAGGGAAAACTATGTCACATGAAATAACTACTTAGATTAACAATCACAAAAAATGTTGAATTATTTTAAATGTACATCAATAGAAGACATGAGTACATCAATAGGAGGGGGAAAATCCTTGACTTTAGAGCCAGTGGAACTAAAGGAGCCAGAAGTATGATTCTAATATGAAAAATACCCTATAAGAACTGGACTTTCAAGCTCCTTTAACAATTTGGCAAAGTCTCTCAGATGTTTCATTTGTATTGCACAATATAATCAGAATGACAAAAATTATATATTCACTTCTGCTGCTGAAGCTAAAATAGACATTGCTGGGACCAGCTCAAAATGCCTCCCAAGCCTCTAAGATGCCACTTCTATGCTGAATGTGGGAAAGAGAAAGCAGAAGGGGGAAAGTGATATTGTACCAGAAAAAGTCAACATTTTAAAATAGGAACAGAACAGTGGAATCGGGATACTATATTTAAAGAAAAGTTCCACTCCCATCTCCTTGGCCAATTCCTCAAAACCTCTCATTCAATCAGGCCTTTCCAGTTAGTCAAACTGGCTGGGCCTGTTTGTTTGTTTATTTGTTTATTTTTTTAAAAAAAGCTCAGTTCTGTATTTCACATTACAAAAAGCAAGAAAGAAGAAAGAAAATGAGCAAAACGTTGCAGCTTGAGGTTTGCTTTTTAAGTAGAAAAAGAACCGCCTTTGGTTTATCCTGCAAGGAAGCAATTCCCTGGGCTGCTGCTGAGTAAATGCATTAAGGGATTTATCTAAACCAAAAGCACTCTCCCCTTCTTGTCACATCCATTGCCCAGCTAAGACTAGAGAGACTATTTTAATCACATACCCCTTTCCATCAGATGAGATGCTTCCAACAGATAAAGATGGAGCAACCTCCAGAAAAAGGCAAGCTTCAAGTTTTATTGGCTCAGCACATAACGCTTCTAATTTGGTGATTACCCTCTTAAAAAACAATTATCAACATGATTTCCACTCAGGCTGGGGAGGTGGGAAAGACTGCGTAATACCACAAGTGGTGCTTTATCTCTTGCCTACAGCCTATTATCAGCAGCAATCTGCAACCAATTATAGAATGGAGGAGTGTTTTTTTTGTCCTTGATGATGATCAAAGTTTTTAAGCCACTAAAGTACACAAAATAAAGTGTCCTTGCCAGGTTCCCTGCTGCAGAAATCTAATGATCCCCTCTGACACCCTGGGCTATGAACCTGTGAACAAACAGGACTTCACTAGGGAAATCTTGCTGCATTTCATTTGCCTTTTCAGCAAAATCAGCTTAGAAAAGTTGTTGCCATTGATCTGGGAAAAAAGATTTCTCTTTAAGTAAACTGAAACTCTTACTGCAAACTTTAGGTCCCCTTAGTTTGGGATGGGCAGTGTGATGTATTCCACAAATATAGAGAACTCTCACCTCAAGGCTGCCACTTTCAGATCTTGCTCATGCTTTCTGGACACAAATCCATAAGGCTTATAACGGATCGACACAAACAAGGACAGCTAAACTGACTGGAAACTAAGTCCAATTCCAAGCTGTTCAGCAATAATGATGCTGGGAATCTGTATGAGGAGGTGTAAGTTAGGCCCTGGAACAGACACACTGGCAGTTTACTCCTCATTCCTTTGGCTCTATTAGATGTTAAGTAATTCCTAAGCTGATTCCAGCAATCATTGCTAGCATCATTCTTGCCTCCTAATGAAAACATCTCCATCTTACAAATCAATTCCTACTCAGCAAAGCTAGTCTCATTAATGCTGTCTAAAGAACCTGCATATTGGGAGAGAAAAGTTGAAGACATGCACTCACCTAGGAGGCTTAGCTTTTCCAAAGCTTGGATTGGCAACCTTTGAGTCTCCAAATGTTGCTGCACTCCAACTCAAATTAATCCTAGCCTGCTCAGAGGGTACTAAGACATGATGGGAATTGTAAAAGCTACATTTTCCTACCCTGATTCTACAGTCTTTAGCAATCATCATCTGCTAAGTGCTAACCACGGAATCTCAAAAAAATAAAAAATTAGCCCAGACAGCCTATCTGGAGAGAAGACAGGACATCCCAGACTCTTTAGAAGCATCATAGATTTTAACCAGATAATGTTAAGGTTCCTTCATTGCATCCTGGAAACAGCATTTGTTTTCCCAATGCTGGTTCTCGATTCAATATGGAAAGGCAGCATTCTTCCTATAAAAAGTGCTCATCTTCCTTGAAATACCGTAGCTCCTTCATCAACACCAGATGCAAAATTCACTATCTCTTTTGGGCCCCAACAGAAGAAATAATACAAGTCAGTTCAAAGCTGTGTTAAGTAGATGCACAGAGGTATTAAATTATTGGGACCACAGCGTTCCTAGCATGATACCTTCATACGTTTCACAGCCACCCATAAAAAGAAGATATATACGGTTCACTTGAACAGTAATATAGCTCAGGCCGTGGCTTTCCTAGCCCCTTGAAAGGGGGAAGCTCTATAATGTGTTTAGCACCTGATCTGAGGTTCTTAATACCTAACATGGTGGCTTAACAGAAATATGGGAACTGAAACAAAAAAATGTCTAAATGGAAGAGACCTTAACTTTAGAGAGTCAAGCTTGCTGGGCTATATGCCAGCCCTCACTTGCTCCTAAGAAGAGGATATTCCTGGTGAAATGAATGAAAAATCTATTTAGAGGAAAGAAGGAAGGAAGGAAGGAAGGAAGGAAGGAAGGAAGGAAGGAAGGAAGGAAGGAAGGAGTTAATAAATAACTACAAGTGTGAGAGAAAAAAACAAATTTTAAAATTAATTATCAACTTTTAAATAACACACCATAGAGAAAGGCAAAATGTTATGAGCTCCTCCCTGTCTCAAGTTCATTGGATTTTTTAAAACTTAGGGTTCTTTTTTTTTTTACATTTCTCTTTTTTAGCCAAAGTCAGTGCAAAGGAGTACAAAAGAAATGAACAGTTCCATGCCCAACTAGGATAGAGCACTAGTGATGGGAAGAGATGAATAAGGGGACAGAGTAAAATTAGCCTACTTTATGTTCCCCTCGCACTATGTGGGAAGAGAACTCGTACCGGTCTTGGCTGTGATAGCCACAGATGTTGCATTCAAAAGGGTCTCTGAAGCCATGGCAGCCCATATGGATGGTGAACATGACGTGGTCCAGGAATAAGATCCGGCAGTGCTCACATTTGAAGGCTTTTACCTGTTCCCCTTCATCATTCACCACACGTAGGGCTTCTTTGGCTGAACTGGGAGTTGACCGAGTAGTGGTGGGAATGATGCCCTCCTGCAATTTGGGGTCCTCTTTGGCGTAGGCTGGACTCTGCCGGCTGCTGCTGCAATTCCCAATGCTGGATAGCAGCTGCTGCTGTGAGCCCCTCTCCTCATGGATGCTCTCAGTGTCTGTGGAATCCTGGCAACCATTGCTAGGTGATACCATGCTTGGCTCCCGTGATGCCCGATACACAATCTGTGTCCCATCAGAAAGGTCCTCGTGGCTTTCGGCAGTTTCCCGACTACTTGCAATTTCCAACCTGCCTGGGAGGGGCTGGATTTGGGTGTAGACAGAGCTGATGACAGGTGTGATCTCAGAGATGCAGTTTGTGGGTGGGAGTCTGAGGGGGCGTAAATGTTCTGCTCCCATGAATGACAATGAACTGCCAAAGCTAGCATCCATGGGATGGTGGGCAGCCACCATCTCCACGTCTTTCTCAAAGCTGGAGTTGACATCATATGCCATATCGGAGAGGCTATACCGCATATGCTTCTCTCCTAATGCATAGGATAAAAGAGATCAAATTACAAATTCCTTCTAGTATCAGAGGTACACCTATGATGAGAGAAAGACAAATAATGCTGATGGAAAACAGCACTACAGATGGGACTTCTTTAGTCCAGGGAGAAGCAGCCAAGACATCCTGAACTGTAATCCAACAACTCTTGGTTCACAAGAACATCATCCCTTTATCCAGAAATGCTTGAAATGCACCTTACCTATAAATTTCTGAGGTGTGGAGCGTTTTCGTTTGGTGATGCTGTTTGCTAGTCGGTCAATAAAGGCCGGCCGATCTGCTGAGGAATGAAGCATGGAGTCCGGCACCATCTCCAAGTCTCTCATCTCGTCACCTGGTAATAAAATTGATTTCATTTTTGGTTGTCCAAATTAATTCTACCCTATATTCCTTTTTTAAAGTGTCTGTGCAAGATTATGGCCATACATGAATCATACTGATAACTAATTTATTGGAGGAAAAAATATCACAGCAAAACACATAAGGTTACAACTGGCAGCCAGTGCTAACTTGAATCAATTCTATTAGAGCCTGTTGTCTACATCTGTAATTATCCCATTTAGCTTCTGTTCTCCTGCTTCATGGTGTTTATCTACTAGCATCTCTCCTGTCTCCCATCCTGCATGTTTGGCCATTAAAACTAGTTTCCATCTGTCCTAGAAACAAGAATCTTAGTCCTGATATAAAAAATATTAATGAAGCTGCAGTGACTATAAAAGACATTTGGAAAAGGGGTGCTGTATCAACTAGGACCAGTTATTTTCAAATTGACAGCTTCCAGATGTGATAGATCTCCAAATTTCAAAATTCACAATTAAGATGCAAGTAGTCCTTGTTTAGTAACTGCCTTATTTAGCAATCATTCTCAGTGATCTGTACAGATAGCTATGCTACCTGGGCATAGGAGCAGCAATAACTCAAACCTACTAGGGAAAGCTCAGTGTGGGAAGATTGAGCTATAGAGCTGGTCTCTATAAGTGGCCTGTGCCATCCTCAATGATCCTCCCAGTTGTTTTTAACATTGGCAAAATTTTCCAAATGAAGACAATCCTTGGTAGATAATAACCAATGACGTTCTCCTTAGGTTGATCTCTGTTTTAGCCTAGCAGCAGGCTTACCTTGCTGGCCAGCCAGCAACTGTGGTTCAGTGTTAAGACTTTGCAGGTAGTTGTGACAGCGTTCCTTGTGCTCTTCCAACGTGCTTTGCTGCTTGTAGCTGCGACCACAATAGTTGCATTTGTAGGGCTTGCCAACTGTGGGGGAAGAGACTAAAAAGAGAACAGAAACAAAAGAAGCCCTATAATACAAGTTATATTTCTGAACTATCACAGTAAACTTTGGATCAGGCAGAATTGGGAAGTGTGGACAGCTTGCTTGTGACCACAGGTATATGATATAAACCTGCTGTACCCTGTCAGTATAATTTCTCACAGTAATATTCCTAATTACTAATACCTGGTACAGGCACAGAATGAAAGGAATCAGAACAACAGAGTTGAAAGGGACCTTGGAGGTCTTTTAATCCAACCCTCTGCTTAATCAGGAGACCCTCTATCTATACCATTTCAGACAGGTGGTTGTCCAGTCTCTTCTTAAAGGCTTCTAATGATGAAGCAGCCACAACTTTGAAGGCAATAACTGCTATGAAGGAACTTCTTCAGAACCACAACTTCTGAAGGAATCTCAGTTATTAGTTGGAGAGCTGTTTATATCACACGTTTGACTGAGCTACATAAGTTTTGGTAAACAAATCAACCAGCTAGGAACATTTTGTGCAGGTGTAATATGTTCCGGAATAAAGGTATGGGTTCACTCTTAGGCACTATTTCTTGAGAAGATAGTTAAACAACAGATAATGCCTGCTTACTGAAATTTCAGTTTTAAAGTTCTGTTTTCCCATCTAAACAAAGCACTATACTAATTTCAGTAAGTTTAGGTGTTGTGTTTTTGTCTCATATATACTTGGAGAGTTATACTTAGTTTCCCATTTGCATAATAAAAATAGCATAGATTTTTCTTGCATGGTCCTTGCAAGAACAAAGTGAATATTGGGTGAGTATGAAGTTGTGAATCTGGGTTCGCCAGACACTTATTTTTTCATAAGAAACTACCTGGCAAAATTGACTCTGTAATGCTGACAATTCTAAAACCATATGCACACTGTCGAATACAGAAGCCAATATGCTTTATATGTAGGATTGTGTTCCAGACTTTCAATTTTAGGCTTTTTAATTCTACATTTCCATGCTAGCTGATCTTTGGATGATCTCTTTAGGACCTTGAAAAGCTCTTGATATTAGCTGATATTCTGGTTTTCTCTGGCCTGGAAACTTTTAGTTCCTGTCTTGCTAGTTTTATTCCTTACAAAGAAGGAGGTAGGGTCCGTCCCGCCCCAGCTTTTTGAGAGCAACACAAGACTTCAGTTCCAATCTCTCCCATGAGAAATATTGTAATAACCATTTTCCCATAACAATATCAGAACACTTCTAATGGTTCTATGCAATTGGTACTTCTAGTAGGAGGAAGAGAAGAAAGTCCATGGATCACTGTGTAAGTACCGTAACTTTTAAGCAGTGTATTTACTTAAGTGTTTGTTGTTTATTTATTGGGGGTGAATCCCCCCTCCTAAACTTCATCTAAGATGAAGTTGATTCAATGTAAACAACATATGAAGTTATTCTAACCTACCCATTCTTGATTTTGATATTCAAATAAATTCTTAGGGCCCAGTTTCTGGAACAAATAATAAAATATTGAAACAGGAAATACAATTTCCCAGCTTACTTTAAGAAAGATGTAATGAACAGAGAAAGTCTATGACAGCTATGACATTTCTTTAGGAATTGAATTTGTAGAAAAACTGGTAAAATGCAAATAGCCAGCCCATATATTTACTAAGCTACAGAGAGAACAAAAAGGAATGTTTTTGAAATAAGATGATCACAGAGGAGAAAACCCCTGTCTATCGATCTTGATTGGACCTAGTTCTAAATGATGAAATGTGTTGATCTGGGTTATAAATTCCCACTTTTGTTTTGTAGGCAGATCTTTATAGATAAAAGGAACTGCCTCATTCGAGGACAGTATATCATGTTATAGAGTGGATGGGAAGACAGATGATAGATTATTCCTGTCTTATCTCCCCCCAGGTGGACAAGCTATTTTAACAGTTGCGCAACCCCAAACAGTGATAAGGATTCTGCTATTCCCCCTTCCACCATTTTCTCCATTAATAACCTGCTGATGTATGATTTTATTATTATTTTTATATACTAACTATTCCAGTTCTAATGTTTTATTTCTCATATTTATAACTGACTATTTTGTTTTGACACCTAGAGTGACAAAAAATGCAGTGATGCAATAAAGGATGGGAAAAGAAAGCACTGTTTCACTACAGAGTCAAACTGCAGAAGTACTATTGGTGAGCATGCTATAAATCAATAGTTTGAACAGATTGCAACTTCATATATAGGAATAACTAGTACTTTGTACTTTTTTTTTAAACAAAGTAGTACTATAAACACTATAAGCAATGGCTCTTCTATTAAAGCTGAATTTCCCAATGAATAGATCATAACTTCCAGGATATAACTGGTGATTTATCAAAACATGCTCTTTCAATGTCATGGGTTAAATTACTAAAACTCAAGAGATTGCCAGGAATTAAATATCATCTTCCTGGTGATTGTAGTGGTCTTTTCTAATATAGACATAAATAACTGGAAGTGAAACATAAGCAGTAAGGGTAAATTTGATGATACCCACTGATTTAAAGGGATTCAGTCAAAAATGTAGCTTCCAAGTTATCTGTTGAAACTAGGGAGTAAGCATCAAAATAGGAATGGCAACTCAGTGTAAGCAAGATATGTCTATTATGGCAACAACAACAACAACAAATCCTAAGAACCTTCCCATATAGACTGAAAGTTCCTGAGCTTGTGATGATTACCAGGCAAGGGAATATGAGGTAGTAGTGATGGTCTGGATAGAATGATCAATGAAATGTGCAACACAATTTTAAAAGTTAAAGTGCAACTGAAACCAGAGACTTTTCTTTTAGAACGAATGGACAGGCAACTAGAAAAAAAGTCATGGCACTTTTTTAATGTATTACAACTGTAGTGAGACTTGTATGGTCAAAAATGGAAAGATTCAAAACTATCTACAACAGAGTATGGTTGGTGATGATGATGGAACTTCTGGAGATGGCTAAAGTAACATTTTTGATCAAAGAAAAAAAACAATACCTACATTTATGATTGACTGGAAACCCCTTTTAGATTTTTTGCATGAAATGGAAAGAAAATGCAATTATGATTTGGGGTTTTGATGACTAGAAAAACAACCTGGAAAACAGAACAAAATACTTGATTGTGTGTGTTTGTGTGTGTCTGTGTGTGTATGTATGTGTTTGTATAAACCATGATAGCATGGGCTAAAAATGTTGGGTATTCTATAGAATTGGACAAATGGCAAAAGTTGTGGTACAGAAACTATTTTTGACATAGCTAATGAATGCCATTATGTGGTTGTGTCTTTAAGTATGAATGATTTGAGGTAAAAGCATGTTCAAATAATTGTAGTCAAATGAGAATGGTGGTACATTGATAGTAAGATATACAAAGATTTTTGATTTAAAGTGCATAATCTAATATGAACTATAAGTAATGACTGTGGAAGAAATGCACGAAAGTTATCTGTAACCAATCAACATGCTTTCTACAAGATGCAATGAAGGATGATTCTTTTTTTGTGTTTTTAATTAAAATAAAAAAAATTCAAAAAAAGAAAAGGACGGAAACTACAAAATGACAACATCCACTGCATAACATCTATCTATATAGAAAACTTATGCAAAATGTTTTATAGATGGCACTTCCCCCCAGCAAGATTAGCTAGAATGCTTCAGAATATGTCTACCAAGTGTTGGAAGTGCAATCAAACCCCGGGCTTGTATTACCACATGTGGTGGACATGTCCGAAAGCAAAGAAATGCTGGACTAAAATTATACACCTGGCTAGGAAAAAATGATAAAGAAACATTTAGATTTAAAACTAGAAATATTTCTGTTGGGCATCATACCAGACAAATATAGTAAAAGGAATAACAGTACCCCACACAGTACTTTAATATGGAATTTGTTACCAAAAATGTACTCATATCTTTAAAAGGAGCTCAGACATTCATGGAGAATAAGGTTATCAGAATTTCTGGTCCCAATGACTAGATATTAATACAACATCACAAACCATATACAGTATTTCTCACTATCTGTTGTTGAAGAGTACAATTGAAAATCCACTATTGCTTTCTTGCTTGCCATAGACTTCCCCATAGTTGGTCACTGACTAGATTAGATGGTTAGCTAGTTTCTTTTCTTTTTCAATAGAGCTAGATAAGACCCAGTAAGCCTCATTTGGAAATAACTCTAGAAGGAAAAAGAAAAATTATGAATAGAATTCCTCCTCCTTTGACACTTCAAAAAGTATTACTGGGGTTTGTGTATCAACATATCTATTCAGATAAATTATCTGAGAAATGTATATGCACACCTGCCAACTTTCAGTTTACTTGGTTAACAACAGTAACTGGAACTGGAATTTGTGTCAATAAAGCAATGTGGTCATGTGACTGTGACACTTAGCAACAGCAGTTCCAGCACTTCTAGTTGCCATTGTTAAATGCATCCTATGAATCACATGGTCATCATTTGCAACATCCTGCCAGCTTCCTCATTGAGTTTGCTTTCTGGAAGCCTGCAGTGAAGATTGCAAATGGTGATCATGAATCATTGCAGGACACTGCAATGTTGTAATTGCGAGCTAGTCACAGAGCACTTGGATTGTAATCATGTAACCACAGGGACACCATGATGGCTGCAAGTATGAAGACTGGTTGTAAGTATCATTTGTTTAGCAACACTACGATAAGGTTGAACAATCACTGAATGAGTGTTTAAGCTAGGTCTACCGGTAATTACCCTGTATATTACAAAGACGTTCTGTCCCATTTAGGGACCATTCAAAGTTACGAAGGTGCTTAGAAAGTAACTTTATGACCAGGCTCCACACAGTATCCCCATGGTCCCATGATCCAGATTTGGGTGTTTTGCAACTGGTAGGCATTTATGACTGTGCAGTGTCCCAGGGTAATGTGATTCCCATTTGTGTGTTTTACAGTTGGGTTCTGACAAGCAGAATCAGTGGAGAAGTTGACAGCAAAATCACAAATTGCTGTACAGGGATTATGCTCTCAACCATGTTAAATGATATAATTCTGCTACATTAATTTTCTTGTAAATAACCACTATTCAAAGCAATTTAATGTAGTCCTCCAATCCCAGCTAGTCTCTCCAATAAGTGAGCAAGCTTTGTTCTGAAGATGGGATACTGATTTAACTATATTCACTTTTAAGATACAAGATACTGGCGACAGATAATATCCCTCCTACATAACCAGGTCTAAATTTTAAACAATTATAGCTTAGCTTTAACAATAAGGTGGATGACTGTACTCCTATCCCAGTTCAGAAATGTGAATTTCTGTGAATCATATTAGCCATTCATGGAAAATTCTTATACCTTTAAATTTATTGAAACTAGGTCATTTCACAATGATAAGAAGTAGAACATAAGAATAACTAAGACTCCAAGTGAAACTGATACTGTGAATTTTACTAAAATATTAAGAAAGGGCATAGGAGCAATATAATGTGTCCCATTAATATTATTCATATGGCATGATTGCCAAAGGTAGGCAACTTAATAATGCCTTTCAGGATCTTTGATCTCTTGTAGCAGCAGCAAATATGGACAATTATCAAGAGATATAATTAAACATTTCTGGAACGTGTCAAGTAGCTTACTCATATTAAGATAATACAGTAGGGAGACTGGAACATACCTAATTTTATTCTATAAAATTCTAATATAATAGAGAAAAGCACTCAAGATGTTGTTTCTGTGAATAGGACAAAGTTCAGTTATTTTTTATTGGACCAATTCTGCAAGGTCCTCTGCAACAGGGACATTGTTCTTCCACAAAGAATAGGTCTGGGCAGCTCAAATGCTTTCTGTCTTACAACAGATAATTTGTCTAGATACGAAATCATTAGATGGATCTGTGGAACTAAAGAAACTGTCATAATAATGACAAATCTAACAATCATTTCTCCAATCTGACACTTGAAATGAAGTGACAAGTATTACAGATACATAAAAACACTTATGAAGTTAAAAAGCCTCAACACAATCCACAGAAACCAAGGAAAAGAAAAAACAATAAGAACTTGATAGATGAACAGATTTCACTCTTTACAAAAAATAATCTAGCTGTTATTATACTAAAAACAACATAAAATGACATATTTGAGAAGATCTTTGTGAAGCCTTCCACTCATTCCCATGTCAACAATCAATACATTTTTTTTTAATTCAAGGACAATATCTCACATTTATCTATTGGACAAAGAAATATAAATCCAACACATCATGGGATTATGATAGCCATTTTTAACAGGTTTCCAGAGGTAGCCATGGAAATTTGTTACTACTAAAAAACAAAAATGTAGGACATCGAAGGCTAACAATTAATTACTATATGAGCTTGTGGATCTCAGTAACTTTATGGTATGCATTTCATGAAGTGGACTGTGATTTGGAAAAACTTTGTCATCGTCATCATCATCATCAATTGGTCAGTTGTTATGGCACAGAAGAGATTTTCACTGTTTTTCACTACTTTCCTTAAAATAAGATTTGGTTAATGTACTCATATCTTGTATGTTAAGTAAGACTGAGCATAGCCACTACTGGATTTGAGAGTCTATCTACATTACAATGAGTTCTTGGAAGGCAGTGTTAGATATGTATGTAAACAGCATATGTGAGTGAGAAAGGTATCAAATTCAAAAGGAAGCACTGGAGGCACAGAGCCAAAATTAGAACAGAAAAGAAGACTGGCAGAGGGCAATAAGACTTTCTTTAACTTTAATATCAAGTAACATTGGCAATGGTTGGGCACTGGCAACAGAGCAAGAAACCAGTCTCCCAGTCTAACAAGATATTCTACAAACCATGGCCCAAGAGAAATGGTGTCTATAACAATTTGCCACAGCCAACCTGCTGTGGGACAAGAGTTAAAGAAATGGTGGAATAGAATCATTAAATGACGCAAAGGGAGGGACAAAATGAAATGTGAATGTGAAGTTAAAATAATGTTATTTATTTTAAATAATTAAATTGAATTGCTAAATTGACCTGCAGTGAGTTGTCCCATGGAGAGTTGCCCATGGCAAATTGGCCACAGTGAGTTGGCCCATTCTGAGAGAAATGTTGGATATTTACCTGAGTGTGTGCGGAGGTGACCGGTGAGTGCATCTCTTCTCCGGCAAGCATAGTTGCAGAAAGGGCATTTGAAGGGCTTCTCACCTGAATGCAGTTTGATGTGGCGCAAGAGGTTGCCCTTTTGGGTGAAGGAGGCACCGCACTGATTGCAATGGAATGGTCTCTCACCTAGGAGGAGGGATATCATAAGCATGTAATCAGAGAAGCTTGCCTGGCTCCTTGGTCTTACTGAGGCTATTTTATATATGTAATTTTCCCTCTCATCCTTTTAGCACTAGCCTAGGTTCAGCAGCTCAGCATGGTCAGGCCTGATTAATTTTTGAATAAGAAACTACAGTATTAGGAATTTCAGGACTGTAGGTTAGATTAGAAAGTTGAAAAATAAGTCTCAGAAAAGGGCAATGAAAAACATTTCTGTACTGCTGGCAAGAAAAAAAGTGTACCAAAGACTTTTCATCATTGTGTTAACCTACTCAACCTAAAAAAAAAACATTATAAAGCTTGTATATTGGAATAACTCTATTACAAAATAGACAGTGAATTCCTTTTGGAGACAAAAACAGAGCCTCTCATCATATTGTCCCCATAAACCAAATCTGTTCTTTGATACAAACATTTGCAGAGCTTAGAACCTAGGAAGATTTACCTCAGAGCATTTTTTGGCAATACATTCAACTCAAGCATTTGTTGTTTGGACTATTTGGTGCTTATATTATTGCTGCTTCTGGTTCCACATCTGTAAAATACTTTGGAGCAATCAACTGAGACTCTTAAATCAGTAATCCATTTTTAAGACACTGTAATAATTTAATGAAATTGATATCATTTATACAACATTTGAAATAATGAGTGAAAATCCTATAAACTGGGGAAAATGCATATAAGGTTGTGAAAGATAGGCTCTTTAATGTTAAAATAAGATTAAAATTTTTATTTTGTTAAGTATCAAAATTAATATTTTGCTCAGCGATCTCAACATTTGGAATCTATCAAGACATCAAGAATTGTAGACTTTCTAAACATGCAGAGTGAAAAAGCCTAGAATAAATCTCTGATTTGTAGCAATCATTTGTGTTTCCCAATGTTTGATTCCCTCAAGCCTTTTATTTTTGATAAGTGGCAAAGAAAAGGATTTGTAATGATTTGGTCAAATGTTTTAGAACTGTCAAAGACAACTTGGTTGTTATTCAATCTTGCTTCCCCATTGACTTTACTCATCAGATAGACGTAAAAGTGTTCACATGATAGTGGGAAACTGCAATTCTCACAAACACATGCCAGTTGCCAAGTATCTAAATTTTGATCATGTGATTATGGGGATGGTGCAACAGTCATAAGTCTAAAAGACAGTTGTAAGTCACTTTTTTCAGTGCTGTTTAACTTTGAAAGGTCACTAAATAGATGGTTATAAGTCAAGGACTACTGTAACTGACTTGAATACCGTATTTTTTGGTCTATGACATACTTTTGCGCCCCAAAAAAGTAGGTGGAAATGTCTGTGGGTCTTATAGAGTGAATGTTGGTGAAGCCCTGCCCACCCACTGGCCCCCACCCTTCGGCCTCTGCCTCCCAGCAATTTGCCTCCTTGCAGCAAACAGCCTGATCAGCTTCAACACAGCCTGATTTAGCATGAGCAGCTGATTGGCGGTTGGATCAGCCTTCCGGAATACTGCTGATTAACTGTTCCAGGCTGCAGGGATTGCCGCTGCCTATTGCCTCTGAATGGCACTGCTGGTGATGGTGATCCCCCGCCACCTGGAACGGGCCAAAAACATGATGCACAGAGGCCGAAAATGGGGCACATGGAGGTTGAAAATTGGATACGCGGCGGCAGTGATGGGCGGTGGTTATCCCCGCAGCCTGGAACAGCTGTTTGGTGGTATTCCGAGAGGCTGATCCAACCGCCAATCAGCTGCTTGTGCTAAATCAGGCTGTGCTGAAGCTGATCAGGCTGTTTGCTGTTTGCTGCAAGGAGGCAAATTGCTGGGAGGCAGAGGCAGAGGCAGATTTTTTTCCCCTCCCCAAAAGCTAGGTGGGTCTTATGGTCCAGAGCATTTTATAGTGCCAAAAATATGGTACATTTCCTCTTTCCAAACACTGGAAATTGATTTAATGTTGCTGATCCAAACATTGTTTTGGAAGTACTTTGGCTTAGTTTGACTTCAAACCTTTGGAACCTACCCTGCATGAACTGCCCACTCTAGGTTTTGCCACATTTCAATTAAGTTAAATTTAGGGATTTGACTTGACCATTTGAAAACAGGAAATTTCTTCTGTTTCAGCCATTCTATTATAGATTATTTTATGTGATTAGACTGCTGTTGTACTGTATGACCCACATTGATTTGGACTCATGGGTGGGTATGCTGACAATCACCTATTAAATTTGCTAGTATAAGCCAACATCCATTGTTAAAGTATTGCTTGTGAGCCACCTGGCTTCTGAGGTTGCAAGATGATATTTCCACCACTATGCCTCATGGTTGGGATGTTCTTTTTGTGACAGTCCAACACTTTGTTTCCTCCAAACATAATGTTTCTCATTAATGTCAGAAAATTTCACTAATTCTTATCTATTAACAAAACATTAAGCCAGTGGCCTGCTGGATCATTAAGATGATCTGAGCAACAGTGTGCTTTCTGGGGAGCAGTGTTGTTGTTTTTTTAATGGTAGATTTGTGAACACTGTCAACAGACATTGCAAGAGTGGCCTGAAAATCCTTTGCCATGACATTAGGAGTCTTTATAATCCCCAGGATTACAATACACCTTGATCTTGAGCTGTTTTTGTTGGGGCGACTGCTCTAAAGAATAACAACAAATGTGTTGTATTTTATTTATTTGTATATTAACTGCCTGACTGTAGATTCCTCGAGAGCAAAATCTTTGTCACTAGTGTTGTAGCCCTTACAAGATTCATGAGTACTGAAAATTCTTATGGTCCAAAAATATACTTTTGATGGTAGTAACAAACACAAGTGTGTTCTTTGAAGGGAAGGGTCCTTCAACTCGTACCTAATCATTTTCTGATTGGAACATCTGACTCACCTGAACTCTATTAAGAGACCTGACTTACCTGGACTTCCCATACTTTTCCCAAAAATAATGAATATTGACTGAAGGTTTCCAATAAGGATATGGCACAGTACAGTGTTCTGGTTGCTTTTAAAATCCAATTCTTTTTATCTGTTACTAGAACTTAAATGAAGCTCTGACTTCACTGTAGGTCATAATATTGTAGGATTATAGGTAATTCTAAAGGATTTCTATACTTGGGATAAATGTAAACCACAATAGTGATTTAAAATTAACTCAAAGGCTATATGAAATTATAATGAAGGATACAAACTGTTCATGACTTCTATTAACAGCTATCATTCAGAGGCAAAGAGTATGAACCAACAGATTTCCCAGTTCAAATCCTATTCTAATAATGAACTCATCAACAGGTCTTAGGTTTGTCAAAGGAAAGGGCCATAGTTCATAACTACAAGATTAGTTATTGAGTTGCTTCAGTCCCTGGCAACTCAATACAGAGGCACCTTAGAAGGCCTGAGTAGGACTAGCAGCCTCTCTGAGATTATTTAACGTTAAAGAACTATGCAGAGGACAAGCATAAGCACCAGCCTTTACTGCTCACACTTCCTAGAAGTCTGCTCACCAGTGTGACTGCGTTTGTGCACCATCAGTACATTTGGGCCAATGCACACCATTCCACAGATATCACATTTCAGTTTGCCATTGGGTAGCCGTATGCCGCCAGGGGAATGCGGTTCCTGTCCTGACCCATCACAGTAACCAAGGGGCTCAGAGAGGGAATCCTCTACAATCACGCTGTCCTCTTTTTCAAGGAGCCGGTCATCATGGGACAGCAGCCGGCTAGATTCTTCATCACTGTACATTTCCACCTTGATAGAATTTGCTGTGGGGGTAAAAAAAGAACCCAAACATTTTTTTTATTAAATGTATAGTATTAAATACTTGCAAATAGTAAGCATTTAAAAAACACCCTAAGGGATCTGGATGATGAAACCTTTGATAATGAGCAAAAATTAAAAATTACTAAAGGAACTTTGGCATTTAAGACTGGATTAAAAAACAATTTTAATATAATGTATACTATGGAGAAATAATGCTTTCCCCCCTTTTTTCATAATATTAGAACTTTTCAATTATGAAATTCAAGACCATGAATCTAAGAAAGGTTAAATTGCACTATTTACAACTAAATTAGGATTTGATATAAGAAAGGAGGAACAGTAGTTTCCTCTTCCAGTGGAGATCTTCTCTATGTATCTACATGTATCTAATGAAGGAGATATATGTAAAAAATCTGATACCATAATAAAGTTATTTATTTTTGGTGACATAAAGGCCCTTGCTGTTTAAGCTATTAAGGATATTACAGAAAGTCCTTGTTTAGTAACCACAATTAGGATCATCAACTCGATCACTAAATAAAACAGTTGCTAAGTAAAACCATGACTGTGCTTATGATCTTAGTCATCAAACGAAGTCCAAGGTTCGAGGTTCGAGGTTCATTTTATTTATATGCCGCCCTATTCCCAGCGGGACTCAGGGCGGCGCACAAACCCAAGGAGGGGAAGGGAAACACAAAAACTACAACAAAAAAAATACAGGGCATTTAAAACAACCAACAGCCACACGATTCGAGAGGGGAAGGGAACTCATTGACCCCAGGCCTGCCGACACAGCCAGGTTTTAACGGCTTTTTGGAAGGCCTGGAGAGAGGTGAGGGTCCGAATTTCTGCAGGGAGCTCGTTCCAAAGGGCCGGAGCCGCCCCAGAGAAGGCCCTAGACATTGGCTAGTAGATGGAACCCGGAGGAGGCCTAATCTGTGTGATCTAATGGGTCTTTGGGAGGTAATGGGCAGCAGGTGGTGTCTCAAGGAACGTTTTCAAGAGATAAAATATATTACATATTTAAAAGCAGGAAAACCAAATAAGATAACAAACACTATATCTTAATAAAGGATTCCGGAATTTGTTGCATATTTGATTAGCTGTTAAATGAATGTGAAGCATTTCACATGTATCATCTACATACAACTATTCTTCGCCTTTCATGAATTAAAGAAAGTGGACATGTAGCTACAATGCTGGAAAGTTCTCAGAACAGAAAAAGAAAGCTTTAGACACAAAGTCTATCAGCTAAGAAACATCCTCAGAGATCATTAAAGTTCTACACAATTTTTCCTACCAGCAAAATAGCAATGTGGCAGGACTCACTGTAACCAGGGAGGGGAAAGCTGCATTCTGAGACACTGAAGATAGATGCTTTTCTAATGGGGACAGATTGAAGGAATCTGGTACATTAGGTGGGACTTTGTACCTTAGGAATCAAAGGGCATTTCGGCTGGGGACTGCATCGCAGTACAGCTTCCCAAATTGCAGTATGAAAAATTTGGATTCCTTGTCTCTATGATATATAATTGTTCCATTACACAGTTATTCCTTTGTAAATATTAAATATAATATTCACATCATCTCCTGATCCATGCCTTCTCTTCTACACAGCATTCTGGGACAGTGGAAGGTAGCAAAAACAAGGATCAGACTAGATGAAATGGGGAAGCTTGTTTAGGATTGTAAAAAGCCTTAAAGTGTTAGATCAATGATCCATACAGTTCAGAGCTGCCAATTATGAGATGCAATAGCTCAATAGGGTTTCAGACAAGAACTTTTCCTCCACTGTGTGAAAATGCAATCAGATATGTCTGACCTGTTCACTTAAAAATGAAAGTGAAGCTTCTTATAATAATAAAAAAGGATGCTGTATAAACCTCCCATTACTGCCTTGCTGTGGCTCAAGGTCTTTTGAACAAGGTCTTGTATGAGGCTGAAAACAACTGCCTAGAACAATGTTACTTAGCACTATAAGAAGACAGAGGTTTAGTTATTTTTCTATTCAGATAGGAAATAGTTGACTTCATTCAGACATGTGAACGTACTGCTACAGCAGCTATGTCTAGTTTGATTCCAAAGATAGCATTTTTACTCTTATATGTTATTGGAAAACTCACAGGCACTGTAAGATAGCCTCTAAAATAAAGGTGGCTATTACCATCTAATTGTGATGTATTTTCCTAAAAGCTACTTGATTTGTGGCATTTCACAGAGCATTATAACAGTTAGGAATGTAGGTCACTGCCAGCACATCTTCCCCCCCCCCAGCTCCTGTTGTAGCTTATCATGTAAATTGAAGAGAAAAAAAGGCACAAGTGTATTGATGGCCATACACAGGTAGTACTTATAGACAATGAGAGCAGCCTACTTATAGAATTTGTCTCTGTATGTACTCAAGACTATCTTGCCATTAATTAAAAGGCTGCACATGGGAACTATGCCTTTATGTCCAATAAACCTGAGTCTCTACATTTTTCACTCCTTTAAAATACTTCTAAAAGAATTGGACAAATATAGATTCTTTTATGTGGCATGATGAGAAGGAGTAAACAGTGACTCAGATCATGGCTCGTTAGTTTCCTGGAGGGCCATATCTACAATAAGCTGACCCACTGATCATGTTGATTGGGGATTATGGAAATTGCAGTTCAGCACATTTGAAGGAAGCTGGAGGAGAATCAATTGTGTTTTTTAGTGCCACACAGACCAATTTTGTGCTGAGGAAATACTGGGAATCAATAAGATTTAATATAATGGGATTTAATGGCTTTCCAAAGTGACAACCTTCTATCTATACAGAGACAGGCCAATGGTGAACACATCCATATCTAGTATTAATAGCAATAGGGAACTCAACAGACTTTATTGCTCCCCTGTTTGTATAAGGACATACTCAATAGCCTAAGAAATCTCTTTACAAATATGGCTTACAATTGGGTGGTACACAACTAAAATGTTGAGCAGAGCCAGTGGTGAAATTCAATTTTTTTTACTACTGGTTCTGTGGGCATGGCTTGGTGGGTGTGACAGGGGAAGGATACTGCAAAATCTCCCACCCACTCTAAGGGAAGGATACCACAAAATCCCTATTCCCTCCACACTCCTGGGGGAAGGATATTGCAAAATCTCCATTCCCACCCCACTCTGGGGCCAACCAAAGGTGGTATTTGCTGTTTCTCTGAACTAGTCAAACTTTCCGCTACCAGTTCTCCAGAACCTGTCAGAACCTGCTGAATTTCATCCCTTAGCAGGTGTGGTTATTTCCTTGGATAAAATAGGAATGTGCTAATAATATGCCATCCATTTCAGCTACTGAGGAGTTTTCCTTGGTTCCAAAAAATAAGATTGTTGGGAGACTTTGTTCTCTTTCCCTCTCCCTCTTCTCTTCCCCCCTCCCCCAATGTATATAGTATTTTTCGGAGCATAAGACACACTGGAGTATAAGGCGCACCAAGATTTTGAAGAGGCAATTTAAAAAAAAAAGGTAGGTAGATAGAGGGATAGAGAGGGAGAGAAAGAGAGAGAAATACAGTAGGTAGGTAGGGAGAGAGTGAGAGAGTAGTTACGTAGTAAGATAGATAAAGGGATAGAGAGAGAGAAATAGAGAGATAGAGAAATACAGTAAGTAGGTAGTGTGTGTGTGTGTGTGTAGGTAGATAGCTAGGAAGGGAGAGGGATATAGAGAGAAATAGAGATAGAGAAATACAGTAGGTAGGGAGAGAGAGCGAGAGAGCAGGTAGGTTGATAGGTAGAGGGATATAGAGAGAGAAATAGAGAGAGAGAGAAATACAGTAGATAGATAGGGAGAGAGAGAGTAGGTAGGTAGGTAGGTACGTAGGTAGATGGGGAGAGAGAGAAATGCAGTAGATAGGTAGGGAGAGAGAGAGGGTAGGTAGGTAGATAGGTAGATAAAGGGGGAGAGAGAGAGAAAAATACAGTAGGTAGGTAGGGAGAGTAGGTAGATAGGTAGATGTTTCCAGGTGTATTTATCCATGTGCTGGAGAAGGAAATCGTTGACAATCTGCAGCACTTAAGACTTTGTTTCTGATGGCACAGCACTTGATCAATGTAATTCGCATCAATCAGTTAAAGAGCTTTTCGAAAAGGGGGGGAGTTTTTGCACTGTGCAAACCTCCCATTTTGAAAAAAACTGGGCCCATTTTTCGTGAAAACGGACCTGTTTTTTTTAAAAAAAGGCATGAATAGCCTTGGGGGGGAGGCTTCCACAGTGCTCCTGGGGTGGGCGGGGGGGAGCAAAAAATGAGCAAAACCGGCCTATTTTTCATCAAAAAAATTGCATGCTTAGCCTTATAGAGGTTTATAGAGTGCTCCTGGGGACAGGGTGGGGGGCAAAATTGAGCAAAAAATGGCCCATTGTTTGCTCATTTCTGCCCTCCCCAGCCCCAGGAGCTCTCTGAAAGCCTCCATAAGGCTATGCACGGTCATTTTGGTGAACGGGGCGGGGCTTCGAGAGGCAAAAAATTCAGTGTATAAGATGCACCCAGATTTTCAGCCTCTTTTTTGAGGAAAAAAGGTGTGTCCTATACTCTGAAAAATACAGTGTGTGTGTGTGCGCGCGCGTGTGTATGTGTGTGTATAATGATGCAGTTTAAATCCTTTGCAAGTCAAGGTTCAGCTTTTGCTTGCAGCAATGAGCCAATATAGATCAGGCATCATATCGGCCTAGGATCTTCAGCTCTAAAAACTTCATCAACAGCAAAATAACAAGGTGTTTGGGTGTCATAGGAAATCAATTAAACAAGTTTTCCATATTGAAAAAAATAGTTGGAAGCTGGCACTTGTATCAGAATAGGAAGGGGAGTGGGAAATAATAGACTTAACAGGAAAAAAGGCTTCATTGAACAAAAACAGCAGCCTGGAGATACAACCCAAGTTGACACTGCTGTGCACAATTATGAAGTATAAGGCTGCTCACTAGGGCAAGAACTGCTCAGATACACTATTGCTGGCTGAATCTGGATGTTTTTCCAGTCTCCTTGGATGCATTTTCCCCCTCCTGCATAACTTAGCTATTGTTCTTCAATCTTCCTTACAGAAGAATAGTAGTATGTGGTCAAGCTGGCAAAACAGGCTCTGCAATACGTCTGCTCCACTGGGACATGAGTTTGTTGGCTTATCCAGCAATGAATCAAGACAAATTAGATGCAACACCACCAGTCAGCTTCTCCCTGAGAAAGGAAAGGTATCCTTGGGGGCTTTGGCAAAACATAGGCAGAATTCCTTTTGTGTTTCACTGCACAAGTAATGGAATGATTAACTAAAACTACTAGCCTTCAAGGGCCTGAATGCATTACAAGAAATTCTGAACTGGCTCTAAATTGCTGGAAATGAATTATGTTGCAGTACTTCCAATTCAGTATTGGAAACTGTATAAATTCTTCAGCTTCAAAGTAAAAATGATAAAAACACCTAACACGAAGAATAATTATCAGACAGAATAATAGAAACAAACTAATTTAAGATTAATAATTTTCTATATATTTAATATACATTCTGTCTAAGAGAAGCATCCGTATGCATGTGCAACTAAGGATTGGCCATTTTCACAAATGTCAGGTGCTATTTTAGCAGGAAAATATGTTTGCTAAAGGTATAAAGGCTAAATCCAATGCTTACTATATAAACTAACTCAAAATTCAATTTTACCTCCTACCTTTACGAATTGCTGGTGATTGACCATAAGAACAAAAATTGTGGAATGATTCAATTTTTCAGACCAATACGTCATAGAACTACTATTTTTTTCTGCAGAAAAAACCAGAGAGCCCCACTCTGCGATTCCTCCAGTGGTTTTTTTTTTCTTAATGCAAAATAAATGCCAGGCATATTTTTAAATTGATGGCCATTATCTAGGCCTTTTCAAATAACATTAAAAAGAAAACAATTATTGCTTTAGAAAAACAAAAGTCTCTGCTCTGACCATAATCAAGTGATACATTTCAAGAATATCCTACTGGAATCAGAAAATTGTGTACTCACCACTAAGGGACCTGCTTGGGGAGGAGTGTTGGCTGTTTGGTGTGCTCACTGTGGGCCCCACAATTGTGGAGATAAACTCCTTTTCCAAAGAGGAATCTCCACTACCTTTAGCAAGAAAAAAAGAAAGGAGCAGAGGTAAATATGGAAAATTTGTTGCAAGGATATCCTCAGAAATAAATATATTTCCTCCATGACCAAGATAGTAGAGGAAAAAATGCCTTTCCTTATGTAACTGAAGAGGATATAGCCTTTGCAACCTGCAACAGAAAAATTACCTACTGTTGCTCCTAATGAATAATATAGGAAGCAAAATCCAAGCTTATCAAAATCAAAACAACACATATTGTATTGCCATACAATTTAATTTGCATAATTAGAGGATCATCACTCATTGCTGATCTGCAACTGTTTAGGAGATAGCAGGTATTTGTAAAGCCACATAAATTATGTGAAGATTATAATGCTCATGTTTATTAGACTGAGAATTCACAAACATGTTCGGAATCCTCAGAGCTGTTGAATGTGCATTGTTAAAATAACATGGTTCTTCTAGAGTACCTGAATGCTTGTAATCTATATATGCAGCAGCAATTGGGATTCCTTTAAAAATCTATATATCACACCAATAATTAGAGAGCCGTCAGTTTCCATATGAACTTTCAAATATAGAAATGAGGCTTTGTGCATTCATGTTCATACAATTATATATTGCTAGGACCTCAGAATGTTCAAAACATTTGGCTTTTTAGAGAACCTAATATATAATGCCAGGTTAGTTTATCTCAAGGTGCATCTACATCAAATCTCTTTAATATTTTTAGTGCGTGGATTTATTTCTTCTCATTCTCATTAAGACCTGTAGTGGCACACTGGTTAGAACGCAGTACTGCAGGCTACTTCTGCTGATTGCTGGCTGCCTGCAATTTGGCAGTTCGAATCTCACCAGGCTCAAGGCTGACTCAGCCTTCCATCCTTCCCAGGTTGGCAAAATGAGAACCCAGGTTGTTGGGGGCAATATGCTGATTGACTCTGTAAACCACTTAGAGAGGGCTGTAAAGCTCTATGAAACGGCATATAAGTCTAAGTGCTATTGCTATTGCTATTCTCATGTCAATATTCTGCTCATTTGGAAATCTGGAAAAATGACATTGTACATATATCAACAGTTAAAAATTGTGCATCATAATGAATTAGAAGCGTGATTCATTTCTTTATTAGAATACTTCTGACTTGCTGTCATGTTTCTTGTTTAATTGAATACCCTAAAAAGCAAAAATTCTCAGTAGAGATATTGTATTTACTTAATGAACTTTTAGTTTATTCCCAATTACACATCTTCATTATATTATGTAAAAGTGCTTGTATTTAAAAAGAAAAAAAACTTACAATGAACACACCCTCTTAATACTTGCCTAGCTGTGCCTGCTTGTAATTTACTGCCAGTATAATATCATTTTGTATTTGTCACAAAAATTTTATATAGATCATACTCATGAGAATGTATACAGTTATGCTGTAATTGTTTTAGGTATCCTCTTTCTATAAACCTACTTCTGAGTGTTGATATTTTGAAAAGTCCAATGCAAGTAGTCCTCGACTTACTGAGACCAGAATTTCTTTTTGTTAGGCAAGGCAGTTGTTAAAAAGTCACTCCCATTTTACGACCTTTTTGTCATGACTAAGTGAATAACTGCAGTTGTTAAGTGAATCATATGGTCATTAAACAAATTTGGCTTCACCTACTGACTTTGCTTATTGGTAACTGGTTGGGAAGATTGCAAATCTTCATATGACTCTGGGATGCTGCAATTGTTGTAAATACATGCTGGTTGCAAGGTGTTCAAAATTTGATCACATGATTGTGAAGATGCTGCAGTGATTGTAAATGTGAGGATGGGCAATAAGACAATTTTCAGTGCCACTGTAATTTTGAATGGTCACTAAATGAATGGCTGTAAGTCAAGGATTACCTTGACCTTATCATTCCTTTTTAAAAATCTCCATTTTTTAAACGGAGTTATCCTAATGTACTACTATAAAAGTTATCCTAATGTACTAGTTAGGTAAAGGTTCCACTCGCACATATGTGCTAATCACTCCTGACTCTAGGAGACGGTGCTCATCTCTGTTACAAAGCCGAAGAGCCAGTGCTGTCCAAAGACGTCTCCGTGATCATGTGGCTGGCATGACTAAACACCAAAGGTGCACAGAATGCTGTTACCTTCCCACCAAAGGTGGTTCCAATTTTTCCACTTGCATTTTTACATGCTTTCGAACTGCTAAGTTGGCAGAAGCTAGGGCAAGTAACGGGAGCTCACTCCGTTATGCGGTGCTAGGAATTCAAACCGCCGAACTGCCAACCTTTCTGATCAACAAGCTCAGCGTCTTAGCCACTGAGCTTAAATGTACTATTTAAAATGCCTTAAATATGTTTATTCTTCCACTGCATTCATATTTTGCTGCAGGTGGGTGCTTATCTGTCTCAATATGTATTTATAAATGCTTACAAACCATGAGACTTTTTCTTTTTCAGTTTTTGTGAGATGGTATACAACTGTTACCAATTTAGGTCTCTATAATAACATTTCAGTTTAGGAATGATTTTCAGGATACTTAGACATGCATTATTAATTGCCTCTGTAAATTTCAGGCATTGCTATAACTGTACTTCTCAATGAAACCAGTTAAAAAGTTTTTGAAGAACAGAGATTCATTAGAAAATCTTATTGATCCCAGAACAAAGGAGACACATTAAAATTACTCTTTACCCAACCTGCTTCTACATTCATTTATAAGCCAGCCCAAATTTGGCCAAGTTTTCAGCACTCATGGAATTTCAGAGCTTATCAGTCTCTTGCAGCACTAAGTTTTAGCTGCCAAAAATCTCTAATCTAAAAGATTTGGCATGATTCCAGTAATGGAGTTCACTCAGCAAGAGTGTTCTGGACATTTCAGAAACCAGTACCATATACTATGTCACCTTGAACTTTCAAAGCATTTTGCAGGGTAAAATTATTCCTGACCTTATTTTCCCTTAACTACATGTGATTAAGAATGTATAAATGACAACCTCTCTGGGAAGCCAACAATATATTGGAAGAGGAATGGGGTGACACAGGCTGATATTATTAAATTTAAATGACTAAAATGCAATACGATGCTTAAATTGTCTCTTATAAAGCAAAGTTGCAGAAATTAGATATGACCAATTTAAAGGCAATTTGAAAAGGGGCACAATTTAAAATGGTGTGACTTAGAAATTATTGTGGTTTGTTTAAACCAGAGTTTCTAGACTATGTCTTAATGCAATTCTAATTTAGGCAGCAATTTTATATTTAATTATTACTAAATCTAGTTTACTAACAATTAGGATCACATTATGGTTTAAGTTACAATAATCAGAAAATTGACATCTAGGAAAAACTAGAGTCATTGCATCAGAATTGATAAGCAAGGAAGGAGAAATCAAGATGATTACAACAGAAAAATGCTTCTTGCATAAGATGTGAGAAAGCAAAGCAGACATCATTTAGCCAAAACTATAAATGTAGACTGCGGTGTAAAAATCTACACTTCATTCTTATTAAAATTTCTAAACTGTGTCATAATTAGATTTCAAAACTGCAGATTAGGCATTAAATAAATGCTCTTCTAACTCAAACAACTATATCTGAAGAACTAATATACTAGCATAACTACATTAGTGTAACTCTTTTGACTTCTAATGCTGTGTGCACTATAATGTTTATTGATGACAAAATATTTAGTCTGCCTGAAATGCTCTAGCAAAGGCTTGGATCATACCTCACATGAAGCCAAAATGTACTTTACCAGCATGCTAGTATGAACTCTGACATTGTTTATTATTTTGCCCTCTTGTATTTAGTTATCTCTTAAAACTGGATTTTGCTTCTGGTTGGGGTGCTGAAGGCAGCACAAACAGCTCCCTCTTCCCGTTTTTTCTACAACTACCATATGAGGGAGGTTAGGTTGAGACAGACCCAAAGTCACCCAGTGTACATTATTTTGTATAGTATGTGAACTCAGTTCGTAGTTAAACAAGAGACAGACTATTGCAACTGCAAATCTAGCTTCCATACAAGGGCCTTGATTAATCTTTTTTAAAATTCACAGTAGAGTGAGAAAATATTACTTCATTACCAGCAGGTACCTTAATACCAAATGTATCACTTATCTATTAATAATATGCTTTCTTTAAACCTTACATTAATTCTGGTGGCTTCTAAACATACTACTGAGGGTGATAATATAAATGTATATATAGATAACAATGTGGACAAGCTCCCTGCGGGTGCTTGCTAAGCATCTGGGACAGCATAATCCATCAAGATAACCCAGAAATTGCACTCCAAAGACGACCAAATTCCTCAACAACTTTTGCACATTCCAGTACCCCTTAAGTGTGCCCATTTCCTGGAAACCATTGAATATTTTGAACACTAGGTCAAATCTGGAGTGGTGAAACCTTTAAACAGAGAAACAGGTAATTACTTCTTCATCTGCATTCTTAACACTCACATTATTTAACATGGTCCAGGATTTTCTGGAAACATATAGTATTAGGTGAATCCAGGATTCATATTAGTACAACTAAGTATTTATGAATTTTTAAACATTTTGTCTCCTCCCTA